GGATCAATGAAAACCAGGGAGCACTGGATAGCTGTTTCGTCCTAATAGCGGGACTCTTCATCAGAATACACCAACGACCCCACTACCGATAGAACCCACGAACTTCATGCTACCAGATCAAGAGCACTGACCATTATTCAGTCACTTCGGTCAGAATTCAATGATCTTTGATCCCCACTGATCACAACTTCCCAGTAATGCTTCAGGACATCCACCCAGCTCATCGATGGCTAATGGATGGACGTCCTGAAGTTGTTCTGGGAAGTCATGATCAGTGGAGTCCACACGTCGTTGAATTCCAACCAAAGTAACTGAATAATGGTCAGTGAGCTTAGTCTGGTAGCATGAAGGTCGCCGGTTCAATACGTGGTGGGGTCGTTGGTATATACTGCTGAAGAGTCCCACTAGTAGGACGAAACAGTTATCCAGTCCTCCCTGATTTTGAATGATTCCCTTACTGATTTCATTTTCAACAAATCACTGGTAATCAACACTTGATGGAAGCAAGGACTATATAAATTCCTCCCCGGTGGACAGTATTTTGAATGTTTAACCTACGATTCCAATCACAATACAGATAACAGGAGTGAGATAATTACATTTTAGAAGTTTTTCTAATATGTCACTAGTAGGCAGACTATCAATTGCAACTCAGATATTCTCCGAATAATTCGTCCTTCGACGGTTCAAAGGTAGAATGCCAGTCAGCGACGCACGCGATTTTGGTTCGATTCCCAATCAATACATTCTCAAAACTCAAATAGCAGGTAATAAGGCCGGGAAAGAGAAGAAGGTTTGCTGTGAGGTTAACAACCCTGCCTCGTTAAAACAACACAACAGCTACTGAGATTTTAAAGTGTGAGGCTTCATTTTCCATTAAGAAATGACTGGCTAGTTTCAATACAGAACTTTCTACACATATGCAGGAGTTCCACGTGCCACACTCCCTCCATGTACCACACAAACCAACAGAAGACAGTAAGCAGAGACAGATTCAAAAGGGAGATAATAAACACAAGTGGGTGAAGGAAAACGAATTGCATTATGGAAGAACAATAGTCTCACTGTATATGACAAATCACAAACAGTGAATGAATGCATCTCCACCATCCATTGACAACGAAGATTTCGAGCCATATCACCAATTATCACCAGCCTTCATTGGTTCTTACCATCGTGATGACCTCAACCAACCAGTCAGGAAGTCTACCCATCCTCACCTAACTGGCTCAAACTAACTGTTATGGATTTCATCGACTGATGAAGCCATGTTTTTGTTCAACCCTATCTGTCAGTAATGTCAGCTAACATTGGCTGTTGTCGAGGGAGGCGATGGCCAGACAGGCGTAACATGTCTTAAAACATTTCAATCTATTTAACTTCAAAACCTCACCGATTGATTTTCCCTAACTGGCCTATCACTCAACCGAAGCCTAACTTCAACAGTACTCACTCTATTATGCCACCTAACACAGGAGATCGAAAGTAGGTGCCTATAACCAAAGACCGCTAGCCAAGCTTTTTATTTCTTCCACTTTCAATGGGCATGTCTCACGGTCATAAAAGAGCAGAACGGAGCAAACTGTTGAGTAGTACACACATCTCTTATTCTTCCACTAGGAAATTCGAGGGAATTTTTAAAAAATCAGACTATTCACCAAAGTAAACCATGACGTGAAGAACCTAGAAGACCTGGATTTCGCGCGTGGATGATTTATGTTTGATGTCACACAAGATCGAAGACTTACAAGCGAAAACCGACAAACTGGTCGAAGAAGCAGCAAAGACATGACTCCAGGTGAACATAGACAAGACGGAGGTTATGAAAATAACCAACCAACAACAACAACAGCAGCAGCAACATCCAGCGCCAATCACCATCAACGGGAGGGATTTGAAAGAGGTTACTTCATTCACTTCATTCATTCTAGGGAGCATTGTCTCAACTACAGGAGGAACGGACGAGGATGTCAAATCGAGAATCGGAAAGGCGACAAACACATTCATCAACCTGAAACCAATCTGGAAATCTTCCGCTGTCACTCAGCATCAACAACAAAATTCGGATTTTCAATACAAACGTCAAGTCAGTCAGTTCTTCTATACGGATCAGAAACTTGGTGGGTCACAAAGAATATTTTCAACAGCCTGTTGCAGACCTTTATCAACAGCTGTCTTACGTCTATACTGAAGATCAGATGGCCGGAAAGAATCACCAACAAGAAACTATGGGAACAAACAAACAAAACCAGAACCAATCGCCCAACAAATATGCAAAAGAAAGTGGAGATGGATTGGACACTCGTTGAGGAGGTCGTTGGGTGACATCGCGCGTCAGGCCATAGCTTGAGTGGAACCCGAAAGGGAAGTGGCGAGTGGGACATCCAAGGGTGACATGGAGGGGATCGTGTGAAGTGGAGTTGAAACAGCATGGACTAACATGGATGCAAGTGAAAAGTATAGCAGAAGCCAGAGGCAAGTGGAGGCGTGTAGTTGAAGCCCTATGTTCCACTAGGAACCCAAGGGAACAATAATAATAATAATAAGCCATGACAACCAAACAATCAATCAGTCAAATAAATAAACACATATGCTTCAAAATCTGAATAAGACTCCAGGTATCACAAGAAAAAAACAAACAAGTGATAACCAGTTAGTTAGTTAATTAATTAGGTGAATAGAATTATACACTTACAGAATGATTGATGAAATGTGATATATTACCCATTTGGGAGGCATCTACAGTATAATGTGCATCACCTTCAAAGTCTAAATCGAATAAATACGTCATAGTTTGTTTATCATAGATTAATCCACGTTTCTCTGCCTCATCGAAAGTTAAAATCTAGGGGGAAAATGAAAATTGGCGGGGGGCGGGGGAAAGAACAATACACACAGAGCGATTAGTAAACTTTAAAAACGAAATCTCCATTGAGTATAATTTGTAACACACACACACACGCACACACACAGACTGACTGACTGACTGGCTTTAAAATAGAACTTTCTTCGCACATATGTGCAGCAGTTCAAGTCGCCACACTCCATGTAGTACACAAAGCAAGAGAAGAAAGTAAAAGGAAATGCAAAATAAAGACAGTAAACAGAGATATGAGGCGAAAGGAATAGTAATATCAAAGTGGATGCATCTGCGCCAGCTATTGTGAACGATTTTGAGTCATATCACCGACTGTCTCCAACCATTGGTCTTTACCATCCCGAAGACCACAACCAGTCAGGAAGTCAGTTTACACCTTCCTACGTGGCCGGCTTAAACTGACTGTTGTGGAATTCATCAACTGATGAGGCTGTTTTGGTTTGATCACCGCTAGCTCTTTTCCAGCCTGACCCTATGTCAGCTAACACTGCCTGTTGTCGAGGAAGGCAGTGGCTAGGCATGCATGCGTAACACATGTCCTAACCATCACAGCCTCGTCTATTGATTTCTCCTCCCAATTACCTAGCACTCGACTGATACCTAACTTCAATATTGCTCACCCTATTATACCACTTCACACGGGAGATAGAACACAAACACACACAGATCCCAAGAAAATACAATAAAAATGGCAAATTTCGAAAATATATTAATTTTAGTAGACTATAGATAAATACAGTGGCAGTACTTAATGAAAAACGATGTTATTTCGTTAGTAGTGACTGGTGGTGGAATCCAGGATGCGTATTTCGTTCTATTTTTAAGATAACTCATCATCTGGATGTACCTACATCCATCCATCCATCCATCTATGCACAATGAGTGATAATGTTCCTACTGAAACTCGAGCCCAACACACCTATCATTGTATCAAACATCAAAGCGTTATGCAATAAAAACCACTGGGTTGTTAACTGTTACAATCTGTTTAACAATACATATCAAAATTCCCCTTGATTAAGTATCTTTATTTAGTAGGTTCAAGGACATAATAGAGTTATGCAATACTACCGCCAGAACAGTTTACTGGAAATGACGTTGGCGGCTTATAACACAGAGCTGGCTGACTGGTTGACTTCAGTCTGTAACAAAACGAAGAACTGGACGCATGACATTAGTTACTATATACTGTCTAATCAAAGTATCCACAACACTCCTTGCAGGGAGTCAATTGTGACGCCAAATAACTCAGTGAGGTTTGAATCTCAGAAGGGACTCTTAACAGTAAACTAGTCTGATGCTGGAAGGAAATGAATCCGCCGACGTTTAGAATCATAAATTTTTTTTAAATCAGTCTTTTAAAATCAATCAACATGTTTGTTGAAGAAAAAAATAGAGGAAATAGCAATGCAAAGAATAATTTAGGGTGTAAATTAGGTATCTATGCAGTCATAATAGAAGCGCCGGCCGCCATTCTCACAAGATATTGAAATAGTGAAGATGGATTTTCTTGGTGTTGTTGTATTCTCTCTAAGCTGGATGGTTTAAGTACTGCCTGACTGAGCTTCAACCACACTCTATGGAGTACACAAAGGTAGACGAATGAGTGAGAGAGGGAGAGAAAAAGGGAGGGAGAAAGAACAGTAACATGGAAAAAGATTAGAGTTTATTAGATACGGGAGATCACAAAGAGTGGGAATGCATCTGCATCAGCCATTGATAACGATTTCGAGTTACGCATCACTAATTGTCTCTAACCATTGATTTCCAGCATGCCAAGGACCTCAACCAGTCAGTGTCTACACCTCCCTACATAGCTCAAATTAACTGTCAACGATTTCATAGACTAATGACACGTTTTACTTTGATCACCTCTAACTCTTTTCCAACCTGATTCTATATTAGCTAACATTGACCACTGGCTGAGGAAGGCGACGAGTTGGCATGAACAACACGCGTTCAAGCTATCTCGACCGATGACTGACTTATCCTTCATACCTACTTTACCAAACAAACAGTACTTGTCACAACAACAACAGCAACAAAAAATGCATTTTAACCTACCTCGCCTAAATATTCAACTACAAAAGTTCCCTTTCCAATAGGAACCATTGTTTTAACACCCCATCCACGATCTTTTGTACGAAAAACGCATAAAGGTACTTTTCTGCCCAATTGTACAACACGAAATGGACATGTTGAATCACAAGGACATCTAAAAACAATGTAATAGTAAATGTGAATAGATTCATAGGAACAATTACAATAAAATATGAAGAGCATTAACATACAGATTCTACAGAAAGGTGGGATTACAACAAGAACTACACTGGGATTTCTGTATGTGTAGTTTGATAAGTTTGACAATCATAAAAATTTTCAAGTATTGGTTTTGTAGGGATTTTGTTTGATTGGTTGGGGGATTTCATCATGAGCTGACATCAGTTAGAGAACCATTTGAGTACTGGACAGTGAAGAGTCCCAAACTAGGACGAAACAGCTGGCCAGTTATCTCAGGTTTTCCAATGGTTGTTTAACTGATGTCAGCTTGTGATAAAATCCTCCAACCAATCAAACAAAATCCCTACAAAACCAATACTTCACAATTGATCTGATGCTCACTAGCGCCTGGCCCTATTCCAGCAGTTACCTGGAGTTCTAGTGGGAAGCCATGACCGGTAGCTTACAGCAGGTTAAAGGTGAGGCAGTAACTCATCGAAGAAGACATTGAGAAGTGGTCGCGCTATGTCATGAATTGGCAGAAGTTAGAATTCATGGACCATTGGGTCGGGTCCCAGTGGCTTAATAATCTACGAGCCCACCTTGTGACCAAAAGGTCCCAAGTTCGACCCCTGGCGGTAGGTGAGTACTGATGAAGAGTCCCAAACTAGGCTGACAAAGCAGCTGTTCAGTACTCCCTAGTGGTTTTCCAATGGTTCTCTAACTGATGTCAGCTTATGATGAAATTCTTCCAACAATTATAAAAATGTCATCACAGTTCATATGTTTAGCTGAGTGACTCATCAGAGCAAAAACCTTACATAAAAGTAAATTGGATGTACTTGTCCGTTCCCCTTGGTAATTTACGCAGAGCACCTTATTAGTTAACTCTTTTAATGTAAACTTTAATAAGCATAATTAACAGTACCTATTCAGAAATAAATGAATCTCCCCAAACTATGTTCCACACTTTTTCTGAGTGTGTGAGGGTTGATTTTGTTGCTGAGTTATCCAGATCAAAAGTAGGTGAAGCAGGACTCGAACTCGAAGGTACCTATCCCCAAACCACACGCATTCACACTGACGATGATATGGCAACTAAAACGATTCAAGAGCACATATTTTTGACTCACAGTCTCTTCCTCCGACCCCTCCTTTCTGATTTGCATAAGCAAAACACGCTGACTCATACTGATACACCCACCCCCCCCCCCGATTAGTTAAAAATGAGCATAACATAGTTATCTAAGCATAACTTGAGAGGGAGTAGACACCAAGAAATACGCCATACAACTTGAGACATAAAAACCTTTAACATTTAATCGAATGAATTAGGCGAAAAGATGTCTCTGAAAGACCAACTGAAACATGTACAACTTCACCTCAACTACATTTCAATTAAACCAAATGTTCTCAACAAGACAGTAAACTAAAAGTAGAACTCTAGAGTGGTTATCATGGCTGCCTTCCAAGCAGTCAATCCAAGTTCGTCTCTCCGTGGTCACAAGTGGTTTAGTGCGTCGGTGGTTGAGCTGTAGACCGCTCTCCAACAACGCCTCACGTGGCCCGCGGTTCAATCCTTGGCCACAAATGCACTCCTAAAGCTTGCTGAGGCGGTAGTAAGGCTGGTAAAGAGGGAAGGTTGGGTGTGGAGCTAGCAACTCAACTCTGTAAACATAAAAACACCACTGCTACAGAAACTTCACAGCTCTAGCTTGAAGCCCTATATTCCACTGGGGAACGTAAAGAAATAAAAACAGGACTCTAGAAACATGCGTACATCTATTTGATTCGCGTCAAAAAGGGTATGAATAGATTTAAGTAGGATTCTGTTGTACGTGGAAGACAACTTTCACTCTGCTTTAGATATGTCGGACACATTCAGGTGAAGAGCGAAACTATCCTACTGCTAATCCAGCTCACTGTTAAGCTTTCTTCTACTTGTGTTCTTTACAATCACCGGGCGGGTGGGGGGTGTTTACATCAACAGTCGTCTACGTAACTTCTTTGCACATCATCCTCGGAACTGTCCTACTTCACATGTATTAAATTAAAAGAGGCAACTGAAGAGATTATTTTCATCAAATCCATTAATAATAATTCGCCAGTTCCGTCATTAGAAAGCTCAATGAAGCCATGGAAGTAAAGACATAAGTAAAACAAAGCTGACTGATGGAGGTAGACGACGGCGAGCGAGAAAAAAGACACATGTTGGAACGAGACTGTACAAAATCTGAACTTCCAGGACAATTTGTATCTAGTATCACACAAACTCAAATATTTACAGGCGAAAAAAACAGCAATAATAATTTGGCTAAAGATGCAGCAAAAACAAGACTCCAAGTCAACACAAAGAAGACAGAGGTGATGAAGATAACCAATCGACCAACAACAACTACAAGCACCAATCACCATCTACGAGAGAAATTTAAAGGAGGTTACTTCTTTCATTGACCTAGGCGGCACAGTTGAGAATGTTAAAGCCGACGAGGATCATAAAAGCAAGAGACAGACCTTCACTAATCTGAAATCAGTGTGAAAATCTGCTGCACTCACCATAACGAACAAGATTCAGGTTTTCGACACACCATAGTCTCAAGTCAGTATGTCTATGTGGTTCACAGACTTGGTGCAAGCATCACTGAAAGCGTTTCCAGCAAACTTTTATCAACAGTTAAGTTCGCTAGTTCCAAACTGCCAGACAGATAGCAGCTGCTACCTTGACGTGGTGGTCGGGCTTGTATATCGCAATGACCCAACAAGCTACACTGGCTGGAACCAATGTTCCTGCAGGTCCTACCATGCCAGGAAGGTTGTTAGGATAGCGATTACACTGAGAATCTTTCTTACACTATGCTGGGGGTCTGTGGACGAAGTCGTACTGCTGGGGAACAGGGGTGTAACAGCAGTGAGGTGTTTCCCTCAGATGACCAGCATGCCAGCCAGCTATGCTGTCTCTCCACTCTGGAGACAGGGGGTTAGAAAAGGTCGACCCCAAAAATTGTACATCCCGACTTACCCTACGGTGGTCCGTAACCGGTGGTAAATTTACTAATACGGAACCAAACCAAGAAACCAGTTCGTGTGTGACCGACCTCAAGCAGTTGTTCCCTGGGCTCTGCGGTCACGTAACACTAACTCTCTTTCTGTTTCAAGTACCCGAAGAATCAATCAACTTCCACGGTGTGTGCAACCGGGAAGTAACAACCGCCCACACACTTCCAAAAGCACACGAAACCTTCCTAGTTCCATACTGAAGATCAGATGGTCAACCTAGAGGATAGGCAACAATGAACTCAACAAATACGCCAAAGAAAATCAAGATGAATGGATCAAGCAGACGTTAACGAGACCATTGATGAGTAGTGACATCGCGCCAAAGGCCCTTGATTGGAACCAGAATGAAAAACGGAGAATTGGGCACCGGGGGTGACATGGAGGAGGGATTGGTGAGATGAGAGCTTATGAGCAATTGTGGAGCTAAACAAAAGGGACTGTAGAGAACGGGGAAAAATGGAGATGTTCCGTTGAAGGCTTAGGAACCGCAACGAGTCTAGTGAATTTTCTTTTGACATACATGTACAAAAAGATGAGCATATGAAGGTCCAGGTAATCTAAGTCTATTGTGTCCTAACAACCTAAGTACCAAGGAATTTAACATATAGCTAAAACATTGAAAGAAAGACACACCGCAGTAGTCTTTTATGCATATACATAAGGTCAATAAGCGCGATAATTTTTTTAAAAAAATAGTCAATAATAATGAATATACAACAATTTACACTTGTCAATAAACGCACAAGGAGTTACACTCATAAACCGGATGACCAGGAGGTGCAAGCAGTCGCTTGCGTTTATCATATGGAGGCATTGAACCTGCACGAACTGCACAACAATTACTCCGTCTGTTAACCCAACAAGGATAGATAACTGATGAAGTATCATTGTCTTTTTTAGTCATTTTTGCTAACTGTGATAAATTTACATTATCCATTGTACATTCACAGCCAATTGGAGCTTTAGTTGGCAAGTACACGTCTTGCCCAGGTAAGTAATCAGGAATTGGTTGAAATTCAACCGGAGGACCTTGAAATAGAAAAGCGAAAGCAAAAAAAAAAAAGAAAACAACGTCATCATAACAATTCATTCAAGATTTAAAAACATAGAAATAAAACTACATTCAAGTGAGTATAACACATTTTTGAATCAATACACAACTTTAAATCTCCCTGACTCAATCTCATTAAAAACATCGGTTGAGATGGTTAGGACATGTGTTACGCATGCTTGGCCTAGCCATCACCTTCCTCGATAACAGCCAATGTTAGATGACATAGGACTGATGAGGTTGGAAAAGAGCTAACGAGTGGTGGTCAAACCAAAACATGGCTTCATCAGTCAATGGAATCCATAACAGTTAGTTTGAGTCAGCCAGCCAGTCACGTAGGTAGGTGTAGACTTCGTGGCTGGTTGGAGTCCTACGGATGGTAGGAACCAATGAAGGCTGGAGACAATTGGTGATATGGCTCGAAATCTTTGTTGTCAATAGATGGCGCAGATGCATTCATTCACTCTTTGTGATTTCTTATATGCAATGAGACTCTATTGTTCTTCCATATTACTATTCGTTTTCCTTCACTCATACTTGTGTTTATTATCTCCCTTTTGAATCTGTTTCTGCTTACTCTCTTCTGTTGGTTTGTGTGGTACATGGAGGGAGTGTGGCAACCGGAACTGCTGTACACTTGTGCAAATAAAGTTCTATGTTAAAGCCAGTCAGTTAGTCAGTCATAAAACTCTGAATTTCGGATATAAACACCTTCATGGAACGGTTACCACACAAATGGTAACCTGAGACTTGACCAGAAACAGTCTATAATTCAAAGATGCGCAATAAATAACAATTTACCGAAAACATTTTGTAAAAACTTAAAGTTTTATGAGTTAGTCATCATCAACTTTACAACCACTAGAACTATATTACCAGGATATAACATTGCATATCCAATTAATAATAATTACAAACTAATTAAAAACTCTATTGAAATATATACAATTTCAAGAAAATGGGATTGATCACACTTAGGAGTATTAATTTGCTGCAAATGGTATCACTTTTTTTGAAGATTTTTACTCCATTTTATCCTCCTCTATGTTCATTGTTGTTATTGCTTTGTTCAAACTCATTCACGAGGAATCCGTGTATTGACAAAAAAAAATCTTTACATCTCTTGATTATATTGTAAACCTCTCGATTATCCAATTTTTTAAAAGAATACTAATACTAAAAGCCACAGTGCTTGGGTAAAAACAATTTCAGACTTGATAACACAACCCACTTTCATTTTACAGTCAATAAGGAGAGGAAGAAAATTCAATAGAAACTAAATCAAAATAATTATATCAATGAAATCTAAAAGCAACTACAGACGAGAAAGAGAGAAAGCCAAAAAAAGAAACAACGACTATATAATAATGTTAATAATTCTCTACAATAAGACCAACAATAGGTGATACATCTACAGCATTCAAAACTATTCTAAGTCACAGATGACTGAATAACTGACTGATTTCAACATAGAACTTTCTTTGCACAGATGTACAGCAGTTCCAGTTGCCACGCTCCCTCCATGTACCACACAAACCAACAGAAAACAGTAAAGACAGATTCAAAAGGGAGATGAAAAACACAAGTATGAGTGAAGGAAAATGAATAGCAATATGGAAGAAAAGTAGAGTTTCATTGCATATGCCAAATCACAAACAGTGAATGAATGCATCTACGCCATCTATTGACAACAAAGATTTCGAGCCATATCACCAATTGTCTCCAGCCTTCATTGGTTCTTACCATCCTGATGACCCCAGCCATTCAGGCAGTCTACATCTCCCTACGTGAGTGGCTGGCTGGCTCAAACTAACTGTTATGGATTCCACTGACTGATGAAGCCATGTTTTGGTTTGACCACTCGTAGCTAGCTCTTTTCCAGCCTGACCAATCCTATGTCAGCTAACATTGCCTGTTGTTGAGGAAAGCGATGGTTAGCAATCCATAACACAGCACGTGTTCTAACAATCTCAACCTCGTAGATTGATTTTCTCTATCTAGCCTACCACTCGACCGAAGACTAACCTCAATATTACTCATTCTATTATGCCGCCTAACACAGGAGATCGGACGCAGGCACCTATGATCAAAGATAAGACACAGATAACAACCAAAATAGGCAGGACTTCTGCGATTGTGAAACTAAGAGTTAGAAATTTCATAAATGACTTTACATCATGCCCAGGTCATTCTTAATCTTTGGAAGATTATTCACAATTAAGTATCTTAACTTTGAGAATATGCTACAGGTAGGCGTGTGAAAGGCATCTACATCACTCCCGTTGATACAGACTGGATAGATTTGAGTGCTTAATAATTAATTTGCATCTGCTCGCCATCATGATGCACTGGACTGTGAATTCTTGATATTAAATGGTTGGAAGCAATCAGTAGGAAGCCTTGGATCTAGGTTTTGTGCTAGTTGGCACTCACGAGTTAGCAAGAGGTATCCGCGGGTTCCAATCTCCGAAGGGATATGAGTTGCAGATAAGCCTTGCGCTAACGAAAGCTTCCTTCCGATTACCTCCAACCATATAATATCAACAACTGCCGTGAGAAATATTGACTAGCTAAGTAGAAACACTTTAAGATACTATAAAAGCATGCCTAGCGCATAATTAGCTTCACACAAACAGCAAGGTAACATGATTGCATATCGTAGCTGACAGAATCTCATCGAGATGAAAACCAGTAAGATGACGGAATACTTTGAGTATCAGTCACCTCGAAATCCTATACTTTTAAGTTAGTAAAACAGTAAATAAAACTGTTATCATCTAAACGTCTGTAAGGAATAGATATATTTAAGCATCTCGACGTTCCACTAACTGATATCAGTTCTTTTAAGGATTCCAGGCAAACAATCTACATCTGTTTTATACAGCGAATTATTTCCAACAGCTTCAGTCGATATTTATGAGGACAGCATATGATAGCATAATGTAACAACAGAAGACAAGGGCCAGGCAACAGATCGTTTATTTAGGAAATCAACAGATATCTATAGATTTTCATGTACATTATTATAGCTTATTGTTATCAGAAAAACACAGTCTTCTGATTGGTGGTTTCTCGCTGAACGTTAATCTCTTTCATCTCTTTGCTGCCGTTTATTGAAGTTCAGATTATCTATCTGCAAATCGTATCCGTCTACGCAAAGTCTGCTGTGATTGGTTGTTGAATCAGTCTTTGTTCATATTTTTCTCACGATCAATATTGGGGACGTAAATTAATGTCTACCAATTTGGCTAGCAGCTAGCTCTCACCACAATACCACTTATTACCAGATAAAACACACTAAACTTTCAAGGTGTTTATATGATGACTTCAAAATTAATGAATAATAGTGTCATAGTGATAACGCTTAAACGCGTGCGGTAACCATAAAAACCAATGTACGGTACACTTATACTTGAATGTACATTTGGAAACCTTGCTAGCTAGCGCCATGAGAGAAACGACAGTTAGGTACAAGTGAACTAACCACAGAAAATCTAAACTTTATCCGATAGAAGTCAGTTTCTCTCTGGAAATTAAGACAATTGTAAATATTTTACCGAGTAGAAAAGTAATAAAAGCACAGTTAGAAAAGATCTCTTTGCCTGACTTTTTTCAACCTTTTGACGTGTGTAGGATAAAGCTAAGTCATCGTCGACTAAAACAATTCTATGAAATGTAGGTATCTTAAGTATTTGAAAAAGCTTTATCCTACGAATACAATCTAAGACTTACACATTTAACACGTTACAGGAGAAAAACACATTCAAAAAGTTGCTCTCAGTTCTCTTGATATATGAAGTTCTACACGTGTGAACAGCCTCTAACTTAAAATGTGAAGAGGAACCTAAGTGCAAATCAATCTACTGTGTATGATAGAAAAGTCCTCTCTCTAAATTATAGTAGGCTGGATGCAAATAGGGCTGGCATATAGTGGCAACAACATATGGGAGTATTTACTTGTATCTACAACTATATTACTTTCAGGTTGAAGGTTTCCTGAATCGGTTACCTTCAAGAAGTTTGAGTTGTCATTTAGCTGAAGACCAAATGACTCTTCTTTCAATTCACTGCTGACTGGCCTTTCCACTGATTACATTTTTAGTCGTCGAAAGGTCAAACCACAGATGTCTAGTGGTAGTATTATCAACAATGGAAGTTGACATAAAATCACTGTCTGGGCACAACATGGTATGATGCACGAGATGAGATGAAAACATACGATCAAATAGACCAAAGGACTCAAAAGAATAGATAAAACTTACACTCAGAATCAACAGAATTTTCCACAGTGATAGGCGCTTCATGCGAGTAGACAGCATTGAGCTTTTGTTGGAATGTATTGAGGGCAGAATCTAATACTTGCTTGCTTTTCCGACAAATACGGAAACGTTTAGCGGGAACTGGTAGAAGGTCAGAAACGCTCGGAGGTCGCTTAAGTGAGATAGATTCCATATTACTTGGTAGAGATTGTGAACAGATGAGTTTGTCAATGTTAATAGAAGGCGATGGTTTATAAGGACGGAAATTATCAGTAGGATCAGACTGAAGACTAGAAAAGCGCTCCAGTAAATACAACGGTAAGTTTCCCGATGGATCAACAGCTTCCCTCAGTCGACCCATGACCTCTCGAATTTGTGATTTCTTATCGGGTTGAGACTCGGGCTGAAATACTAGTAAATTGACAATCTAACCTACCGGAAGCATTCCAACTGATTCACCATATGAGTCGACGAACTTTTGAATAAGATCTTCACAACCAGAAAGGTTACATTCTGGTTCCCATGTATTGAATACAGGTGGCCATCCAAGCCATTTTACGTAATAAAATACCTCACCCTGAAACATATTATATAGGAAAAGTGATAGTACTTTGTTGACCGAACGTCCACGTATCGATTCAACAACAAATTCGCTGCCTTCCGGAAACTTGATCTCTTCAGTACTGTAAACTGTAAAACATGACAATCACAAGGCAAAGAAACGTACGTCCATCAAGAAGTTGGTAGGTTTTCCTCATTGACAGTTTTGATATACACATTTCCAGAAGCTCCCAACAAGTGTCTTCCGAAAGATGAACATTGTTTTTTTCAGCTAACTCAACTGTACTACGAATGCAATCAGGTTCAACTACTGACGCATTGGAGAAAGAAAATACTACATCCATTTTTCACCCAAATAAGGCGCAACTTCTTGAACCTTAGATAGTGATATGGAAAAACAAGCGTCAATACTAACATTGTTGGTTTTCAAGGTAAGTGACGGAAGTCCAGGAAATCCATCACGGTTGAGTCAATAAAATTTCTGTTGTACATAATGCTTCGACTAGTAATTACTGTCTTTCTTACTTGTGACTGAGTATGAGAGGAATTTTACACAACTAGATTTCGCACTTATTAACAGACGATATTCAGTTTGTCTCTGTGTATTCAATAAAAATTTTCCAAAATTGTTCGTCTACAACCTTAGTACTGTGTGACATTGGTTGGTGAATTTCACTGTTAAGCCTGACTAAAGTCATGCGGTCAAGCAACTGTACCATTTGGCATGCTGTCGTCTTATGTTTGGTTATTCGTGCTCTACCTTTAGTAAATTGAGCACGTGCGTTGAGTTAACAGCCCTGACACCGGAAAACACAGCATATTTTAGCTCATGTAGGGGATCAAGGAAGTTCATCAAGCCAATTGAACCTTAGACGTTTTACTGTCAGTGATGAATTTGTTTATCCATGAGGATGGAAACACATGGTGGTTATATACTTTGCCATATACTTTGACAAGCAACTTAAATGCGTACGTGCAATGAACCCACCACTTATTGAACTCCTAGACTCCATACGGTGTCATTTCACCGTAGGCCACACCAAGCATTTACTAGGTAGCATCTACCGATCACCCATCTGTGAGGCAGAGCCCAACCAGCTACTGCTCGGCACCATCATAGGGATACGGGACTTGGGCTATGACCAAATCACCATAGCTGGAGATTTCAACGCCCCACTGCTAAACCTTGGCTCGGGGTATGCTCAGGGAAAATTCGGCCGAAATCTACTACAAACCACTAGAAATGCAGCACTAACTGAGAATGTTGGAGACGACACTAGGTGGGGCCCTAGTGGGAAGTCATCGAAACTAGATTATATTCTAACTAGTGGCCAACTACTCGTCGAAAAGGTCCGGATCATGACTCCACTAGGAATTAGTGACCGTGCAGTCGTAGGATTCGGTGTTTTTTTCCGTGAGCACTTGCAGTGGGACGTCACGCGACCATTTCTGTGCTATAACAAGGCGGACTATACTGGAATGCTGAGGATTTTGTCCAGTGCAGAGTGGCCCTTAGCACGGGATGAGTTATCTGGGGGTGAACACTAGGAAGTGGTTAAAGAGATTATTCACTCAGCAATCTACCGTCCCTCCAGTCACGATACAGCGCAAAATGGTCATCATGCCTGAAGGGAGGTACGCAACGTATTCTGCAAGCAAAGCTGAAGGCTTGGTTTACGTGGCGAGTATCCAAGAGTCAGGGCGACTATGACGTATACCTGGAATTCAGGAGCCGGTGCGACGTGAGAGTCAGGAGTGACAGAAGGTCATTTCAAGCTAATTCCAGCGAACCCCAGAAGCTTTTACCGATTCGTGTCGGAAAAAACCAGCCATGCGGCTTAGTAGGCCCAAACGGTCAAGACCTCACTAATCTGGAGATAGCTGAAACATTCAGTTTAGCCTTCGGCAAACAGTTAAACAGCAATGTGGGTATTACTGGTACAGACAAAATGGCGGCACCACTACTTCACAGGATAAAAACCTAGTGACTACGCTCGGAACCCGGAACAGTAATAATAATAATAATTTATGTTTTCATATAAACATAAATTTACATGAAAATGCATGCCATTTTTAAAGGCACGATCAAGTATGATATAATGACAAATAGTAGATTGTCTACAAGTTAGTAATGTTTGAACAGCTAAATATTTGATATATATATATATATAAATACACTCATTGTCTGACCCATGTCGTATCATTATTGAATTAAACAGTAGTCCTCCAGGTTGCGCAGGAAAATCGACTTCATTTCGTTTTCAACCCGTAGTTGTAGGCATACGATGGCCAACCAGTACTGAGGTAAGTACAACGTTTACAAGGGAACAGATTCTTATAATTGTTAATTTGTAAATCTTCCACGAAGGTTTCCATCGAAGTTGAGCGACAACCACGTGATTGAACGCTATTTCAGGAATAGGAGAAAATCCTGCACAGCTACAAAGTGGTATAAAATGCAATCATGAATAATACCTTATTGGAAGTATATTTACAAGAAAAATACAAGAATAAGCTATACAGTGCTTGATATGATAGCGCACATTTGCAATGTATGATGCTAACCATATTGGTCTTACCGTAGAATACCATGACGTTTTCTATGAAAATAAAGTTATTCTCAAACATGAGTGCTGTTGTTATGTCTTTTTTTACCATCAGAGCAACCGAACTTTATGCGAGAGAAGAGTGTGAATGAGAAAAAAAAGAAAAACAAAAGAGTAAATTTCAGCTTTACTAAAGGCCTAGGAAGTTGAGATAAAATAGAGTATAATAGTAATTAGGTAGAAGGATTATCGTGAAGTATATAAGTGACGTTTTAGAGAGAAGTGGCTAGAAGGATTAGAACCTGTTGAATATGGTGACCTGTAGGATGTCTGGCGAACTTGTGTATGGCCCATGGGATAGCATCTTGACAAGAAACTGAGCAGGCTTGTAGATGTTAGGAGAGAAAGCATTGTTATTCTTTGACAAGCTAAAACTGTGCAGTCATTATTGTTTTAGTTTGTTTTTGTTTTTTTAAAATTTTTTTATAAAGTCAATTTTTTATACTTTCAGTATCTAAACTCATGTTGAATTCTCGAGCTACCAAAATAATGCATGTTGCTGTCCTACAGGTCGGAGCGATTCACATTTGTGACCACTATCAAATCTGCAGATCAGCATGCGCCACCCTCCCTCCTTTTTTGACATTAAGCTCTGAGACCTTTTACAATGACTGCAGTTGTAATATTGGATTGCATTGACTCCGTCACAATCATACAGTATGCTGCACATCATCAGCTTTCATGACAAGTGCTTCCCATTAGGTCACATGGCACAATAATACCAGAACTCATTGTTAGCAGTATTATCATCATACTTGTGAACAAGTGGATTACTACAAAAGACTAAGAAATTAGGTTTCCCTTAGGAGTTACGAAGGATAAAAATAGCTAATATTAGAGCAACTAAGTTATATTCTATTTAGCAGTGATATGAGTAGTGGAACAATTAGTGATAAAGTTATGTAAAGTGGTTCTGGGTAAGGCAACTGGTTAGCAGAACTTGTTATGCTAAATTTTCACGACCGATTTTATATGGTGTGCGTTACACATTGCAAAGTGACTCGTCAATTACATAATGGAAAAATACTACACAATTTCAACAATATGATTTTTTTACAGAATTATATGAAAATAAGTAACTGTTGACTCAAGATAGTCATTTCAACTCAAAAATAGTACTGATAATATTAATAATATATTTGTAGCAGACGCCTAGGAAATTGTGTTTAAGAAGTATGAAGTATAGAAGTAGCTAGTATTACAGCAACTAAGTTGTTGTCTATTTAGCAGAGTAAAAAGTGTAGTGGAACAATTAGTGATAAAATTATGTATAATGATCCTGAAGAAAACTGCCGGTTAACAGAGCTAGTTATGCTAAATTTTTCATGACCGATTTTCATACGGTGCGCATTAGATATTGCAAAGTAACCCTTCAACTTATATAATGTTAAAAGTACTGCGAAATATTATAAAGATTATACGTTTTAGGAAGGTGTATGAGAAAAGGTGGTTATTGGCTGAGTAAAGTCATTCAGACACAAAAGATAGCATTGTATTATTAACTGTATATACATATGTAAAATATTAAAAGGTGTGGTTGCCAATCTAATTGTTTCTAGAAGTACTTATATTAACATAACTTATTGAAATCTATACAGAAAGGAAAATCAGTAAATTAGTTAAACGTTCGCTGCGTAAGTAGTAGAGTCGAGTTATATGTAACTGACTGAGCTGAAGACTGGACCGGCTTTTACTTACCATTTTACCAACATTTGTGGTCTTTTAGACAAGCTAGGGTGGACATGTTAATGTGTCTCTCTAGACTCCGTTTGAACCCATTGGGGTTTCCACAACATCTAACTTCAGATGGTAGTTGGTTCCAAAGAGTGCAATATTTAATGGTGAAAAAGTTTGCCCTAATGGATTTTCTGTGGGTAGCCACCTTGAGAAGGTAGTTGTAGTTTCGCAGCTGATGTGATTTAATATTTTCCCACGTTATGGATGAGTTATTATAACGGTGTTTTCTTATGACTTTGAATAGTAGAAATAAGTTGCACTTCACTCTCCTTAACCACAGAGGTTCTAGATTCAGACGCATACACCCGTCAACATATTCCACTTGTTGGTCAAACCCTATTATGCGTTTCGTTAGGAATCTCTGAACACATTCAATTTTTTTCGGTCTGCAGACCTTAGGTTACTATGCAGGAGAGCAGAATATTCAAATACGAGGGATGCTACAGAGACTCACATTTGGAAAGTTCCCAGGGTGTGACGACATCAGGCCATCTGTTCTAAGACAGTGTGTCAAAGCTGTTCGTAGGCCCTTATGCGGCTTGTTCCAACACTCGATGGATTCTGCGAAACTGCGTGAAAGAGCCGTCCTTTCTCCGATTTTCAAGGGTGAGGACAGGCAAAATGCCACCAGTTATAGACCACTAGCCCTATTCCCAGTGGTATCAAAAGTACTGGAAAGTATTATTGATGATCACATCAGGGAGAACTTTGATAGGAATAACAGACTCCATGAAGCCCAACACGGTTTCATGAAAGGCAGATCCTCTGCCACAAACCTAGTATCATCATGGTGGGATATGAATGTTCCAGTCCATGTGATCTTCCTAGACTTTGAGAGGGCATTTGACACAGTTCACCATCACCCTCTCCTGCACAAAATAAGTCAGGCAGGTATAGGTAAGCCGCTTCTGTCATGGTTGAAGGACTACCTAGCTGGAAGGCAATTTCGCACTAAGGTCAATCGAGTCCGACCATCTTGGCATGGCTCGTCATCAGGAGTGTCGCAGGGTTTTATCCTAGGACCACTGATGTT